CCTTGGCCGACGTCAAACCATTCCGAGTACTGCCCGTCGTCCGTTCGAACCCGCGCCCTCATGCCCTCGTGGAAGTGGCGAATGACCGCCAGCATCTTCAGGGCGCTCGAGTGATGCAAGAAGAGCAGCAGTAACATAACGCCCTCAAATGGTTACAGAGACTCGTGGTCGCACAACACGATCAAATTTGAAGCCGAGTGACAAAAGCCCTAAAGTTTTATTCTGTCCATGCGGAGGCACTTGGCGTGCTTTGGCGTGGCGCGCGTTGGTGGTCAGGGTGTGTGATACGAGCCTGGCTGGGCAGTTTCTAGTTTTTAAAAACCCCTGCTTGTGAACCCTTCCTCGCAGGGTGCTCCTACCACGGTGAGATTTTTGGTCCGCATTTTTGGCGAGAAGTCTGCGGACACAAGTCCATCTTCCAAACGGATTTCTATCCAAGTGAGTCTCAGACATGTACTATCGACACACGCGTCGGCAGGGAACTCCCCCTCTTCAGCGACCCAGACCCGCCTGCGACGTGGAGGGTGGTCGGAATTCGGCTCGGAACTACCCCGGGTTGCTGCCCTCACGAAGTCACGACAAAAAGACTCACCGAGAATGGAAGTCGCTCTGCCCTGGCACATAACCTCCCTTGTGATTGTGTTGGAGCGCCTGGCGAAGAGGCCAGCTTCACCCTCAGGCAGTCGTCGCGTGGGGGCGTGATGAAAGTGGGTTGCAAAGGGTAGCTAGAAACGCCCCTGGGGAGCCCTGTGCACGCCAGCATACATTGAAACCCACGGGCGGCATCGCTCAGCTCTGCGCTCCTCTGTCAGCATCCATATTTTTTTACTATATAGTCATATACCATTGTGCACTCGTGACAGCAGCACCGGTATGAGGCACTGGCAGCACCGTGTCCTCCTAGATCATCAGGACACCACAACAGTGCGGAACTTTCTGGTAATAATAATACTGAGTCTTGGGTGTAGACTAGTCTAGAAGCGGCGAGATGCGTGAGCTGTAGATGCAAAAACCAAGACTTAAGCTCGGTGTGTGCGCTGTGCGTATAGGAAAACGAAGCCTCGAGACAAAGAGCTGGGGCGTCGGACTTGCTTGAATAAACTGAATGAAGGACGACGTCATCTATCGCATGACAAGCGGTGTAAGGTCTACATTTTTTCCCAAGCCTGAGTCTCTCTGGACCTCTAGTTTCCTTTCTTTTTTTATGTCCCTCCCTGTTGTTTTCACTCGCGTCGCATAGCCCACCCTTTGCCCGGCAGGGTCTCAAATAATGCTGATCTCGATCGAGAGTCAATCAGTGTGGTGAAAGAGACGGGGGTGGGTGCCTTCTCGAGAGTGTATTATGCCTTGTAAGTGGGTGTGTTCTCCAGAGTGATGTCTTCTGTTTTCATTCGCTCTCGTCTCTCCTCGCCTTTCGCCGGTGGGGTCACCACCAACAAATAACCAACCGCGGTTGATATTTTTCTTGCTGACTGAGTGAAGAGGCTACCCGTGCATCCGGCGCGGCTGCTGTATGGGAGGCGATGGGTGCTGCCTCTACAGGACGAATATTGTTGCTGGTTATGGTAGGTGTTTTTGTTAGGGTTAGTTTTTCGGATTGGACTTTGTTGGATCAATGTAGCACCACATTCCCGCACGGGAGCTTTGTAGACATGAATGCCTTTGAGCCAACGCGAGAAGAAAGATACCATCGTACCGGACGCAGTCGAGAAACGACTGTTCATTGCAACAGCAGAGAAGACGGTACGAAACAAGACAAGACGCTGTGGGGTATCGCTGTTTACGTGTACTCCCGCAATCATGGCGTCCATATGTTTCGTACCCATGAGCGTTCGCCAATTCACTGTGAAACAACGAGAATGTGCGAATAGATGTCGCAGCGGAGATTGTTTACATGTTGATCATGCCCTTCCCAATGGCTGTGCATACATGCTTGAAGTCTACTGTATGTACGTGATGATCTCCGTGCACTACCTCACGATACGTGTGAAACGAACCAAAACCAAAAAATACAAATAGACTAGTCTATAACATGAAGAGGTCCCAGAACAGTAGACCGCAGGTGACGATACAAAACAGCGCAACTTGAAAGAATCCCAGCGACGTCGCACGCGACATAGATGCGGCATGCAGGAGCACACTTTCCCTTCAAGTCCGATTCACCACAAAGTTCCGCACCACCTCCGCCACCAGTCTCTGGTGATCAAGGTCAACTGTGGACACAGGGCCAACCTCCGCCCTGTTTTCGCGCACTCACGAACAACGGAACGACTTCATTTACGAAGCTCCACGCACGATATTTTTCAATAAAAAAATCACGAGTGACCATACATACTGGTACATCCCATGGGACTGGCGAGCACAATGGATATAGCAGAGCATCACGTACGAAAAAAGATCGGTGCCAGGAATCGTCCTTCATCGACCCCCCAACGACTGTGTGCAATGTGTGTCCGTCCCGTCCCACATCGACCGAGCAAGCTGGATGGTAAGCCAAGGTCAACACATGAATAGTAAAAAACCTGCAGGCTACCCATGCAGAATGCAGATCAGAAAAAAACTGGACGCGTGTTTCCGTTCACAGAGTCGGCGGCCGAGCAAATCCGAGCTATGTTGCGGAAGGCTCTAGGCTGCTCGGATATTCATCTTGCTACCAGCCCCAAGCCCTGCGTCGAACATCCGTCTTTTTAAAAGTAGCACGAATCACCCAGATCGGCTAGCCCGACAGATTTCGATCGACCGGTCTTGACGCCCGCATCGCCAACGCGTTCAGGTTCCGACCCACCACGGGCCTCGACGTCCAGATCGGCAAGCCGTACAGGTTTGGATCCGGTAGTAGTCTCGGCTCTACCTGGAACCACAGCGAAGCCTGTGACGGGCTGTTGCTGTACCGGTTGCTTCTGCGGCCTGGGCGGCCTCTGCTGCAGAGTCGGCTTCTGCTGCCACGACTGCTGGTGTGCTTGCTGCTCTGGCCGCTGCCTCGGCTGTTGTTGCATTTTCTTCTCTGACTGCTGCGCAAGCTCCGCCTCCAGGCTTTGAAGCCTGGCCATGAGAGCGCGGACCTGCGGGTTTTCGTCCTCTTCATCGTCCTTGGGACCGTTACGCCTCTGCGGGTTTGCCGCGCGGAGTGCCCTCTTCCCCCCGAAAAACCTGGCGAGCCATGACGCTTCCCCCTAGCCCGGCACAAACATATCAATCGTTGAGGCAGAAATTGGTGTTGGAGACGTAACCAATTCAAGTGAGTGGGGGAGAACAGACGTATTGTCAATTTCAACGTTTATTTCAAGGAACTCGTTTCTAAAATCATTTTCCGAGTACAGCAGGTGGGGTGGATAACAAAATGTCGGTTTGCCGCGTGAAACATTTTGTACCTGCTCATGCTCCAGCACTCACCGTCTCGTATTCGGGGGCCCGCTGTTGCTGTTGCCCATTGTCGTACAGCCTCGGCATGATGACGAGGGGCCGCACAACTTGCGTCGACACGGTTTCGTTGGGGAAGTAGAACCAGCGCAGGGCCTCCCCTTCCCTGTCAAGCGTCAGCCTCGAGCCGCCGACGTTCACCGTCCCCTGCCGAGCGACTTCCGCGGCGAGGTTGAAGGCCTCATCGACGAGGCCAGTGAACATCGCCGACTCCCCGTCCGTGGACAGGGCCGTTCCCGAGCCGACGTCATTTCCCGCCGGAGGCGGGGCGTCGAGGAGGCGGCGGTTGGAGAATCCGTAGCGCGCTTCGTTCAGGGTCGGCCTGCCACGAAAGCGCACAAGACAAGCCCGAAACAGACGAAATCGGTTCTCATGACACCTCGACAAGAACACGCCGAATACGGCACCCTGTCCTTTCTCGGCCAAACGAAGAGTGATTTTCTTCTATCAGTAGACGACGCTAGAGGGTGCCAGGAACGTCCGCGACCCCAGCTCAACATCATGATACAGGAGGAGCAAGCTTAAGAGTTGGCACTTGCAGAGCGTTTTTCTTTCAAGTTTCAGCAACAGTCCTGTCCAGTTGCAATGGCTCACCTTTTCCTGCTGTCGGTCGGCGCAGGGGACGGCGCGCGAAACTTCCACTCTGACGACTTGATGTCTGGCTGGTAGAGAGGGAGGAAGGTCGCACCGTGGTCCGCCACGAACATAACCGCATCGAGAATGTACCTCGCCTGTTGTCACGTTAAGAGCAGGAGGCACTTAGTAGTCCAGACCCAGAAAGAAAGACAACGGCGGGTTTCTGCTCTTGCCACACACGATAGCCTTTCCTAGTGCCAGCGGGGACGTTCCATGCCTTTACCCAGGCCCAATGCTTCCGCTCTAGGCCATCACCACACCCATGTTCGTTCGGTGCGGCTCTTGCAGTCGGTATGAATTCCCCGGAATTTAGGCATATCGAATCACAACGGGTTGCCGAATGAACCAGTTTGAGTTAGGCACGGGCAACCCCGACGCAGCTGGAGAAACAAGCCCGGCGGAACTTCAAGGGACACCGGAGCTGGGACACCAAAACGCACGACGTAGTGCCAATACATGCTAGACTTGCCTCAGCATCAGACATGAAGAATGTCAGGCTCAGGCGGCAGAAGCCCGGCTTCATGATCCCGACATCAGCCTCGACCTGCCTCTTCATCTTAGGGAGGGAGCTGTCCGACATCGACAGCAGCCGCACCCCGTACGGCCCCGCGCACTGACATCCGGCCCTGGCTTGGACCCCGAAGAGGTCGTTCAGGAGTGCGCACACAAAGTTGTGGTGGAGGTACCTGTGAGAAGAAGCGACAAGTGAGAAATAAAAAAAAGTGAGTCAACACATAGGAGGAGGGGGGGAGTGTCATCTTCTGGATAGTAGCGTAAAGGGAGTAGAAAATGCACCGAGGTACAAAGGAAACGAATGCACGAGCGTCATATTTTGGACGGTAAAAAAAACGATGATCGAGTCCAGTGCATAGGGACTTGGAGCGGGGAGTTTTGCCGTGCTCACCTGTTGCCGTGCCGTACCAAGAAGCTGAAGATGGGGAGGCGCTTCCGACCGGTGTCTCCTAGAAGACAGATCCGGGGGTTCGACCTGAGGGCTGTCAACCCCATGTGGGTCAGCCGTTCTTCTTTTTCCTGAGGAGGACGGAAAAGCGGCAGGGTGTGGGTCAACAACAGCAGCATCAGGTGATGGGCCAACGAGCCGGCCATCGACACACAAAACAAACTCGCTCGAGAGGGGCATCATCGCTCCTCCAAGGAAGCGAATTTGGTCGTTCCGTCCGGCTGTGGTACGGTAGCCGATATTGTGAGCTACTGATAGAAGTATCTTCGATCTGGCCTACCTCAACGCTTCCCAGCTTCTCCTTCATCTGGAACACCAGACCGAGCCTGATGGAGCCGAGAATGTCGGGGGTACCGCCTTCCTCGCGCTCCTCGATGTTGCTGGTGAAAGAGCGTTAGGCGCGAACGGTAATGCCAGCCAGGGAAGATTGTTCAAGTTAGATAAAAGTATACTTGGGTCAGTCAAGGAACGATGAGCCAACCACGTGCAAGCCTGCGTGAGGGATGTCGATCGAGCACGGGGAATATTGCCACAGAGATGAGAGTAGACAACATTTCCGCAGAACCAGATGTGGGATTACATTTGCCAGGACCATGGATTGAGAAGTATCCAGAAGTTTTCATAAACACGAGGTTTGCCTTGTAGTCCCGTTTGGTGCATCAAAAATACGGAGAGAAGCTAGCAAGCTTCCGTTATGAGCTCTCGGCGTACGACAGCCAGGCGAATACAAGGGGACTCGTAGAATCGCTTACCTGAGGTACGTGTGACCCTTGTGGGTCACAAAGAGGACCGTGCCGCCGCCTTTTACCACTGGCGTCTTGCTCATGGTGAAGAGCTTTTTCTTGCACACCAACAGCCCGGGCGTTCCCGCGCCGCCGAGAAACTTGTGCCCCGAGATGAACACGGCGTCTTTGGCGGCTAGGGCCTGGGAGAGGAAGCGTTGACCGCACGAGTTCGCGTGTCTCTCAGGATGGAGTACCGACAGGTGGCCTCAGCATTGATACATGCTTAGCGCCTGGTTCAAAGATCGTTTCAGACAATACAAGTGGTGTACGCTCTCCAGTAATGCTAGCAGGCAAGACGATCCACTAAGTACACTTCGCCACAAGTTCGAAAACTGTCCACAGGAGAGGTCGACATGTCGGAAAAGTGGGCAAGTTGTTCACGGGGCGAGGGAACGCTGTTTGACACACGCCTCACCTCATCAGCATCGTTGAATCCCTTGGGGTTCATGTCGATGTCGATGTACGGCGCGGCGGTGGCGTAGTCCCAAAACGACAAAGCTCCTCCGCTGGTGAACGTCAGCGGTGAAGAAAATTCGACAAAGGTTAGTCATGTGGCCGCCCAACCAGGAGAAACATTGCGTGCGTCAGGTGCTTGGCCAACGTTCCTGCAGCGGGAAAAGGGAGGTTTCTGTGATGCGAGGGCTAGGCAGGTACCAATTAATACTCATGTTGCTTCAGTCGTAGGTTTGGGGGAACTCACCTGTGAAGGATCCTCGTGATCTTCTCCGTGTCTTCCATGGCGCCAGTCACGTTCGATGCAGCGGCGAAGGAACCTACATACGGAATGTACATCGATGTTCGGCGGGGCTCCGTTAATCTTTGGCATGTTCAAAGGATCACGGTGCAGATCAGAAGCAACGAGGGGCGGCAAACAGCGGAGAGTACATTGGGAGAATCGTGCTCAATATGCCGGACATATTACACGCTTATGTTCATGCATACCACCACGCTCATGTATGTGCACAAGGCAAGTTTGTTGCCAACGTCGACGATGGGAAACCAATTTGGGACACGATCTGGTGCATGCTTCGAGACTGAGGTATCACCAACAACACACCGACCACCACCACGAACGACGGAAATCCTGCACGGTTTTCTCTCCCAGGGGCCGGCAATTGCTCACCGATCTTCAGGCGGCGGCGGGAGTACGCCTTGAGGTTTCGCTCCAGGTCTTCGAGATCGAGGCCGCCGGCGGCGTTCTCGCGGATCTGACGGAAGACAACGGGGGGGTGTCAGCAAAATGTGGTGGAAACCAGCGCCAAGAATGAGTCAAGGACATAGATCTCAGGCGATACTCAGAAGTTGCTGGTCGATCAAGAGTGATCTTTCTACCGGGGTATTGGGCAACCGCGGTTGTTGGCTGTCGAGTCGGCCTCAGCGGTAGGTACAGGTACAGGGCAACGCCGGTAGGTACTGTGCCCGGCGCATCGATCCGGCCTACTCAGAGGGACCGGCGCCCTTCAATATACAGACTGACTTGGTGTCTCACTGTCGCCCAGCACCTTCACCGGCTCTAATCGACCGGCGTAATTGACACGTCCTCACTCCGTACACCCATCAGCATTCGTGCTGACGCAAACAAAAAATGCAAGTACGGTTGAAGTAGAAGATGTCTTAACAAGCTCGCTTACCGTTACAATAGTAGTCGGGGAAAGTACCACCATAGAACGCCAAGAGCGCTAGACACCACACAGGCTACACGTGTTTTTACCTGCACGACGTCGGCGCACGATTCCCTCCACGGCAAGATGTTGGAGTGGTGCTCGAAGGGCCCGATGAACACCACCGGCCTGCGGATACCAGCGTATGAATCGCCAAGAGCAACAGGTCGTTAAGCCACCAAATCTTCACACAGAGCAAACTAAACCTCTTTTTACCAACAAGGTGCCCGCCAGGTACCACGAAACCGAACTCCATCTTCAATCAGAGCTAAATACACCGGTTTCAAAGATCGGGAGCACGCCGGCTTTGGTGGTGGCCTCCATATCAACGCCACGGCCCCGTACCTGCCGTCAGACCTCCATGTGCGAGTCTTCTTGGTGTCGAGGTTGAGAGCGGACACCACCTTCGCAACGGCCGCGGTCGTCCCTGAGCCAGCGAAAATCACGACGTCGCCGCCGTCGTCTTTGCTGCCCTCGCCGTGTGACGATCCGCACTGAACACCCGAGATGACAAGGGGAAGGAAAACAACAAAGGCAAGACACGCGTACATGTTCATCTTGCGATGTTACACAGGAGCAGCAGTTACAACTTCAACACCTAACATTTCGTCACACCGCGAAAGTGGAATGGTGCACGCTCGCAATACAGGTCTACACCTCCCATATGTTGTTGTTGCGCGCTTCCAAAATAGTAGCCGGACAACCCCTGGGCATGTGAGACATGGCGGGCACACACACACGTACCTTGGCGTTAAGGCACCGCGCTATGATCTTCCGGGCCTCTTCGCGGAAAGCGGTCGTCTGGGCGCCCGTCTCACTAGACGTGGTGTGAGTGTTGCCGTACCGAGGAAGGACCTCCCGGTTCATGAAGTCTTCGATCGATTTCACGGGGCGCCCGCTCGCCGTCCAGTCGGCGTCTATTTACAACCAATTGACGACGGAGGCGGGAAATGGTTCGGGGGGAGGGAGCACCACTCATCCGCCAAAACACGATCGGTGGTATTCGTGGGGCTCGAGAGGGCTGTGCCCGCGGTTGACAACAACGAGAGAAGGGGTCCGAGTACAAGGAAGCGGCAATGGGAGGGTGTAGGCTAGCTCGACGAAGGTAGAAAGCCCCGCGGAAGGCCTTGCCGACTGCTCTGCAACAGAAACAAGCCTATTTTCCAGGACACAGCCGAAGACAAGCGTTGCCGTCATGTTCCATGTAATATGACGGTACACATTCAAACACTCCTGCGCAGACCAACTCTCCCTTCTCCGGCCGCTTTGCAACCAGCCAACATCCTTTCTTCTGCTCACGCACTTGTGTAACATGTGGTCACGCTCTCCGGTTACGTACGCGACAGGGTGTGTTCTTGCTGCCTTACGTTACGATGGAGAGGGAACATCGACTTCTGGCTTATTGCCGCAATGCCGTGCCGGTTTGCAAACAAAAACGTCGGTTTGTCTGTATCTATACCACACATGAGTTCCTAATTGAGTGAACCTGTGGGGTCAACTCACAGACAAGTGGCTTGGAGCCGAACGGCGTTTGAACCGGGGCGAGCCTCCCGATGAGGTTGTTCCGGAGGGCACCGCAGGCCGTGTCGAGGGTGGGGGTGCCGCCGTTGTCGAGCGATGAATTCCCGGGGACTCGAGCGACGGGGTTGGCGTGCTGCCCAAAGCTACCTGCCGAAAGGCGTTTGGTGTGGCTAGGCTCCGCCCCCCGCTGGTTGCTCGTTCGCAGTCCGGAACCATTGTCACCGTTTCCAGCACCCTCTGAGCAGCTGTTGCTGGCGTCGGTGGCGTCAACATCGGCAAGTGTACATTCGTGGTGCTCAGCGGCAGATTGTTCTACAATATATATGTCGGTACATCCAACGGTGCAATATGAGGTTAGCCGAGACATCGCAAAATACATTATTTCCGTACATACGCACCAGACAGATCAGATCTCATAAAAGGTCGAGCTATCGTAGCTATTTCGGACGGTATGCATATGTTCCCTGTGCATGATATGCCGAGGTCATCTGAAGGACAAATGCGATCTGAGATGTTTGCTCCCTGGTAATCTGAGCGTGTTGATCCGAGGTGATCTGTAAACGACAACAAAAGTAGGTGAATCTGAGTATGTCTGCTCCGTTACTACTGAATTGTACCAGTCAAGACGGCACGAGGATTCATATGCTGGAAACACTGCCACAACCTAAATTATGGACCAGATCAGGGGTTTGTTGTTTGTTTGTTTTTCTCCCATCGTTGGACTCTGTTGTCTGGCCCTCTGGCCCCTATACTCCACTTCTACAAGCGAGACGACCCAACCGGGGTCACAAAGGAGGGGGGGGTTGGACCTCTTCCTGCGGTTCCTGCCTGAGATATTATTATCGCGAGAAGGGTACAGTAATCCCTCCCTCGCGACTTAAGAAGTCCATCAAGTCTACTAACAACGCGCTTTGCAGCGCGTCGCTTCCAACGGAGACCAGCATTTAACAAGCGAGAAAAAACTCACTCTGTCGGGACTCGAACCCATGGCCCGGCCCTTAGCAGACTGCGAGGCTACCCACTAGACCACCGGGGCGACCGGCCGGATACGTACCCGGATATGGCACTTCAAGAAGGATTTAATATGGTATATAGTGTAACCTACATACATTATTTTGTATCGCACTTTGTATCGGTAGGCATACTAATAGTACGCCTCTGAGACTGCGCGATACTTTTATATTGGTAAGCACATGAATGCCACACATACATTTTTGTATGTGTTTTTAACAAAGAATATATAGACCTTGACTATCACTACGCTGAATCCTTAATAATGAACGCATTCAACAAACTGGATTAAGCGCCCGAAAAAATGGCGGGGCGGGGGGAGGGGGGTACCAGTGCTTCCAGCATCTGAATCAGCGTACCCTCATGCTGCAAGTGACATGGTATCAGAGTGTATATAGAAGAGGAGTGGCCAAAATCGGGTACACCCGGCCCCAATCCGGCCATTATCGGGTACACTTGTTTTTCACAGTCGACAGCACCCTCCTGGCGCCATCTGATTGGCCGACGACCGCCCCTACCCGGCCCTGACCCTATTCCCACTGGGTGCACCCGATCTTGGCTACTCACCCCCCGGAGGGGTACCCGATCTTACTCTCGCCTACCCGAAAATGGCTGGGCTATTCGACCAACAGACCACCAGCAGACCACGCTCACGAACACACGTCACCAACACCCCGCACTCGAGTTCCGACGCTTCCGACGGCGGGCGGAGGCGGACCTAACGCGGCTGACGTGGCGGAACTATCGTTTGAAGTGGATCAGTGGATCTCTCTCCTGCAACGCGGCGGAACTCTTGTTTGAAGTGGATCTCGCTCCTGCAAGTAGATCTCGCTCCTCAACCCACCAAGTCTCTCGTGGTTAATCTCGGCACTCGTGCCTGAACGGTCGACTGGCATCGGCAGAATATGAGCGATGAAGTAGAGAACATTCCGGTCCTCGCGCAAGGCGCGTGCTACTTCCACCACCAGCCATCTTAGGACAGCGTTCATGCTGCGTGTACCACCACTCTCTCTATCTTTCCCCATCTCCTGTGGCAAGCCCGCATTTCCTCGTCTCTCCCACGTACTCACAAGAGGTCGAAGCCAAGGAAGTACTATCGCTGTTTCATCTGAAGTCCCACGGCATCCACTGCCTGCTGCTGCTGCATTACTGGATGTATGTATGTACGATCCTCTTCCTACACAACAACAATGTGTCATATATCTCCGGTCTTGATCGAGATATAACCACGGCATCCACTGCTTGCTGCTGCTGCATTACTGTGTACGATCAACCCTCTGCGTACACAACAACGTGCCATACATCTCCGGTCTTGATGTGTCTAGAAATGTATTCCAGAGGAAAGCGACACCCTGATGCTGCTGTGCCTGATGCTTCCGTGGACATATATGAGCGGCGTAATGTATTTGTGTGCAGCTCAAGTGATCACGTGGGGTATTGAGAGGTATTCATCCACCGCCGCTCGCCTGGCCCTCTCTCTCCTCCCTCTCCGATACGAAACAAGAACCGAGAGAGTTCCGACGTCGGCGGTGGGTTGCAGGAAGAGTCTTGCAGGAGAGAGATCCACTTCAAACGAGAGTTCCGCCGCGTTAGCCGCGTTAGGTCCGCCTCCGCCCGCCGTCGGAAGCGTCGGAACTCGAGTGCGGGGTGTTGGTGACGTGTGTTCGTGAGCGTGGTCTGCTGGTGGTCTGTTGGTCGAATAGCCCAGCCATTTTCGGGTAGGCGAGAGTAAGATCGGGTACCCCTCCGAGGGGTGAGTAGCCAAGATCGGGTGCACCCGGTGGGAATAGGGTCAGGGCCGCGTAGGGGCGGGCGTCGGCCAATCAGATGGCGCCAGGAGGGCGCTGCCGACTGTGTGAAACAAGTGTACCTGATAATGGCCGGATTGGGGCCGGGTGTACCCGATTTTGGCCATTCCTGTATATAGAACTAGACAGATTTGGAAAGCTTCCCCTACAGTGTCAAGAAATTTCATACGGCTGGAAGAAGACCATGCACTAATCACTGATCATCCTGTCCATCGATAGGCCAGCTGTCGGGTACAGTCGGGCCTGTCGGGTCAAACCGAGCGGCAGAAGCAGTCGGCTTCAACCAATAACGTACTACGCGGTGACAACCATTCGATCGGCTGTGGGCTTTGTACCCAAAATCTCCAGATTATTTTCTTTTGCAGCCAAATAAGCCTCTGTTAAGCCTCTGTACCATACTCCGGATGCCTTGTATTGTACAATTGTATGTACACTCAAAGGTTGGGAGATGTGCCAGAACTCGAGGAGGTGGCACGGGCAACGAAAGGCCTCAAGAACTGGAAGGCACCCGGTCATGACTCCCTCCCTGCCGAGTTGCTCAAGATCGATGACGACGAACCCTTCGTCCTGGGACACCTCCATACCATCCTCGTCAAGGTGTGGAACGGAGGAGATATCCCGCGAGAGCGGAAAGATGCAACCATCAAGGTGCTGTACAAGAAAGGTGACCGGTCCAACTGTAACAACTACAGGGGGGTTTCGCTACTATCTCACGTAGGCAAGGTCCCCATCAAGATCATCACCAACCGTCTAAGCGCCTTCTGCGAAGCCAACAACATCCTCCCGGAGGAACAGTGCGGACTTCGACACGGGCGATCCACCGTCGACATGCTGTTCGTCGGGCGCCGCCTCCAGGAGCTGGGGCTGAGAAAGAAAATACCGCTCTAAATGTGCTTCGTCGACTTGAAGAAGGCGTATGATTCGGTGGACCGAGAGATGTTTTGGAAGGTGCTGGCCAGGGCCGGGATTCCCGCGAAGCTGATCAAAGTGNAGACGACCGAGTTCCGGAACCTCGGTGGCCTCGTCAACGAACATGGCGACCTCACCCGGGAGATCAACTACAGGAGCAGAGGAGCGTGAGCGTGCCTCAGGCGATATGGCCGGGAGCTCTTCGACAGACCGAATGCGCCATACCGACTCAAGATCCGCCTGCTCCAGGCGGAGGCGATGGAGGCACTGCTGTACGGTTGCATGACATGG